GATTTAGCTGCAGTCCTCCCACACAGAACTTTCTCAAAACAAAAGTGCAGGGAAGGTTACAGAAAGGAACCTTCTTCTTCAAAAGTCTCGATGGTCATAATGTCCAACATCATCATCATATGGAGGAAAGTTGGAATAACCAGGAGCCCTCATGGGATGGTGAAAATAGGTGTGCACCCATGTTTCCCATCCACACTGATTGAAGATTATCTGCATCTATTCATGAGTTGAAACTTGCAAAATCAGCTGTCCCAAACTTATATCATCATGTTCAATAAAACTTTAGGTTTTAATTTCTGCCACAGGTACATTAACTACTCAGAAAAGGCTTCATATGATTAGGTACACCTCGCTTCTTTTGTTGTATATTTCATATCTATTTGTGAAATTCTTTAGAAAATGTTAGCATTTTCATTGCCATGTGTTCTGTTTGGAAAATCAGGGAAAAATAAAGATCTACAAATAATGGAGGCTAAATTAAAAACATAATGAAACATAGTGAAAAATGCTAAGTGATTTTGATATTTTCTGGATGCAGTTTAAACCAGAAAAAAAGAAGAAAAGCTCAGAAAAATGTTATTCTTAGATAAAGAGGGAGAACAAATAAATTAAAAAACAGTAAATAAAGATATGAAACATTTATTTGATTGCACAAAGAAAACTAACTAATGGCTGATTATTTATATCCTTCAGTATCAGAGCTAAATAAACAAGGAACAACTAAAAGGGTTTGTTACATTAAAGAAGAAGTGTTTGTTGGAAATTCTCTAGTATTAAAACGTTTGAAAAAGCTGATTCTTAATATTGAGGTATTTGTCAAATTTCTGCAAAAGCTTCCTTAATATAATTTCATTATATTTCACTAAGTTTAGTTGAACATAATAAATAATATAATTGAAAATAGATTAAAAGAAGAATTAGAAGAATTAAAAATTCTGATTAATCCTTGGAATAACATCCTTAAAGTTTCAAGCACAAGAAAACATTCAGAAAACTGTTTGCTTTAAATCTGGTGACAAATCAATATTTTATTCAGAAACCTTTCAGTTTCTATTCATAAAAAAAAAAAAAACTCGAAACAAAATTTCTTTAACAAGTTAAAAGAAATTTTTTTAGCACACACAACAATTTGTAAACAAAACTTGTTTAAGGAAATTATTGTTGCTTAAAGAAAAATTCAGANATTTTGTTTGGTATACACACTGTGTGTACAAAATGACAATAAATGTTGTCTAAGTCTTTTTTTAATCCTGGGAAGTGAGTCGGGCACAATTTGTTTTTGATGTTCATTTGGAGTTCATCTATAAAATTTCACATTAATGCCTCTATGTACTAAGAAAACCAAGATTTGTTTTATGTTAGGAAGGAGATTTTAACGCAGATTTATATGTCGTTAACATAATACATCCGAATTATTTTATCCCTTAAAGTTTCCAAATGGGTCAAATCTAACTGCTAAACGTTCCTGTTATTAGCTATTATTGGGTTACACTTTATGAACTGTTAAAGGCTCTGTGATTAGGAAGGTCACCCTGATCCCAGAGGATCTGTCTCTTCATTCTTCATTACTTCCATCTGCTTCCATCAGGCAGAAGATGTAAGTTTTCACTGACACGGAAAAACATCCACAAGAAATCATTCAAAACATGTACTATATCTACCTAACACCCTTGAGAGATGGAATAATTGGTATGAAGAGTAGCTTTCTACCTGGATTGTACAATTTACGGATTTACGGACCTCATAGCAGCAGTTGTGAAACTGAAAACTCAGAGTTCCCGATCGTAGGCTAGATCAATGTAGAGAAGTGGATTTGAATCTGAGTTTGTTAAAACTGCTTTGTGAAAAAACATAAACAAAAAATAAACTTACCCACAGGCTCATCAATACAAAGGATATACATTACCAGCCTATTTGATGTTATGGTTCTCCCCTTTTGGACTTTGAGTTTTTTTCAGTTTTCAGTTTTCTAAGAAATTCTGTTTTGTTGATCTTTGGTTTATTTTCCATTTGAGTTATATAAAAATTTTTGATGTCCCACAATGGGGAAGTTGACTCTATATTTGACCCATCCCCTGGGCAGTGTTGGGCACGTTACTTTGAAAAAGTAATTAGTTATAGTTACTAGTTACTT